AATAAATAAATAAATAAATAAATAAAATTAACACATGTAAATCCCACTGATACAATGGGTCTGCTCTAATTGGGACTACTAATTCAAGCCTAAGCCTTTGGAATCTTCATAATTTCATGAGTTTGAATATGAATTAGAGCTTGAAACTCTTAAGAAGAATGTTCACTATTCCCAAAGACATAGGGCAGTGCCAAAGAAATTGTCCAGAACTGAGAGTGGTCATTTTTACACTAAGTGGAAAGAAATAAAGTCATACATATTTAGACTTTGTGAATTGAAAACATTATAGATGCTCTAAAAATTGCCCTCAGGACCCACAGTTGATATTATTTCAATTAAAAACCTTCTGGAACAGGAAGGTTTTGACTTGGTGCTGAAATGTCATCAACATTGGTGCCAACCAAATTTCCCTCAGGATGGCACTCCATAGTCTGGGGACAGCTGGCAAAAAGGCCCTTTGTCTACAAGCCATCCCTCTTACGTCCCTGACAGATGGCTCTTTCAGGAGTTCCCCTGGCTATATCTTAACTGCCAGGTAGGTTCATATGGAAGGAGGCGGTCCTTCAAGTATACAGGCCCCAAGCTGTTTAGGGCTTTATATGTCAAAACAAGCACTTTGAATTGGGCCCGATTAGCAACTGGTAGCCAATGTAATTTATACAGAATCAGCTTGATTTGTTCCCTAGCGGCCCCACCCCTCAATGTAATGTATCTGCTAACGTTTGTAGATGATTTATGTCTGATTTTGCAGAACAAATGCCAGGTGAAATGGACAAAGAAAACATCAACCGGTCCTTGTGACTGGGTTCAAAATACAGATGTACTGGACAACACTACCAATCATTATGTTAGACTACATAGGGAAGCCATTGAAATCCACAAACATCAGCACAGTTTCAACAAAAAAGAAAGTCTAAAACTCAACAAAGCCTGGCTCCCAAAACTGAAAAATATAGCCTGCAAAAAGGTCAATGAACTCTACCCAGCCACAGGGACCGGTGATCACTGCACAGAATATACTAGCTAACGACACCCATCAATCACAGTGACAGATCATCTCCGCCTTATCACAATAATACACTTGTAACAAAAAACACCCTGATCACCATACTAACCCAATTTCCTGAAAAGGACAAAAAACTGCTCCCATAGCTACAAATACTCAACTATTCCACATACTACACCAGAACACTTAATAACTTACTTGTACTCCATATTCACTCCACATAGCATATTCATCTTTCCAATACCAGATCCAGTCAGTTGTCAGAATATAGTGTGGGGCCTTTGTCACAGACGATGCGGTGGAGAGGCGCCGAAGTTTGTTACTACCACAAGTCATTTTGCAGAAATCAATGGTTAGAGACTTGAAGTTTTCCCCAGCATTATTACTTGCAAATCTATGGAAAAATGGGATTTTTAAAGGGGTTAGAGCTCACTTGTCATGGACTCCTCTCTAAGCCTTCTCCCAGTGGAACCTCCAGGGACCAGCGCTTATTCCTCCAAGGTGGGGGAACTCTTGAAAAGTGTTCTGGACCTTGAATTTAAACCCACTGAAGCTCCAGAGAAGGGGTTACCACTTATCTCAGCAGAAGCCGGCGTTTTGTGACACTAATATTGCTAAAACCTGTAAATTTGTGTATACAGGGGAATTTTTTATTTATCCTGAATCAAGATGTGGTTAAAACCACCACTATCACCTAGTAACACACATTTTGAAGCAGTGTTGTGCTAAGAAGTGAGTATTTTCTGTATGAGAGGGAAGCTTTCAGGAAGCTAACATCTTCTTCAAAAGATTCCCTAAAAGGTACCTTTTTCATGCAGGTCCACTGTTCCAACTTGACTAATGCTTCACCTTGTCCTTCATTTGATCCACCATCCTACTAGATGAAGTATAACCCCATTTAAAATGTTTCTTGCCCTGAATCAAGGCTCTATGTACTATAACAGCATTTAAATCATTCTAAAGAATCCCAAGATAAAACAAGAGTTAAGGCATGACTAGATGGGGGAAACTGAAGTGATCCAGGTCATGTTTAAAAGGTACTTCAATGCAATTTGTTTATCTTGCATCTGAGCAATCTTTCCAATTCACATGGGAGACATTTCTTCTCCCGTGAGAAGGATCCAGACAGAACTTCATATTGATCCAATTTTTCTCATTTTTGATTACTGATCCTGCTGCCCCATCCCTTTCCGCACTTTTTGTAGTGGTTATCACTCTGTGGACTACAGCAACTTTTTGTTTTGTTCAGTTTAGTAAGTGGCATAGTGCTACAGCAATAGATCACCTAGCATGGATACTCCCATATATCTGAGGTAGTGCTGTGCCACTTAAGAGAATATTTTTAAAACTGTGAAAAATACAGGAAAGGGTTTCTCTACTGTCACAACCCACTGCATAAGTCACAGGGTTATCACCGAAGAGAATGCCACTCACAGATCCATTTGGGAGCAAATTAAGCAGCCACACAGATTCCAGAATGGGATAATCAGCACTCCCAATCACACCAAATAAACTGCAGTGCTTGTGCTGTGCCAGAAAGGAGCATAACAGCTCACAAAAGGGGCAGGATAAATCCCTCTTATTTAAAAAAAATGTGATTTCTGGAAAATAGGGCAAACGTAACCTCATGAAAAGTGGTCACCCCCTTACTCTGTTAGCTGAAGCTATTGTAGGTGAGGTAAGATGCACTGATTTTTTTTGTTAACAAAAATTAAAGCAGCCATAGGAGAATCTGCATCACTATAATACAAAGTATAACAAATTGATATTAATACATTATACCTCTCATTAAATGGATCACAGTAGGCTTGCTCAATTTTCTCCATATTGTCCAGATCTTTCCAATGAATTCCATCAAAAACTTGCCACCTATATGGTAGGTGGAAGTGAACTCGAATACATTTATCTAGATAAATAATACCAAACTGTGTTAGATCCTCAAGTTGTTAAAACAGATTTAAAGTAGAAAAGCTAAAGAAATAACAACATGCAGAGTATACAGCCAAGAAGAAATGTGGGCAGGGAAACGTTGTTTTACTTGTGTAGACCTATTCATTTCCATGGGCTGATCAACATGGAGCAATATGAAAATTAATACTCAGAGTAATTCATCTGCAGAAGTTCATTCTCAGAAACAAAGTTATCACTTTAAGGAAAGTCACAGCAATGTCATCCCAGGAAGAATACTGTGAAGGCAAACCATGGCTTTTTCGAGCAAGACTGGGACAGTTTTTTCCTGTTGAGGATCACACTTCTTTACAGGCAATTTCATGAGGGCTTTGTGTGGCCGCTCGAGTGTGAGGCCAGTCAACATTGCCACTCAATACTCTCCTTCTTAAATGGAGAAGATGTGTGGGGGGATTTCTTATCAAAGAAACTTACACATGGTTAATAAATTTTAAGATTCTTTGTAATGTTGCTAACGGGTGAATGTTAGCTTGTCTAAAAGTACACTAAAAGTGCAACAGCCAGCAGCACCCATTAATCCAAACAAGAGGGAAACCTAATGGAAAGGGATAAATAACAGATTCTATAAAAATCCATGTTTAAAAAAATTCAATTTAAATCATGATTTTTTTTAAAAAAAGAGGTTTTTATTTAAATAATCAAAAATCATTTAAAATGTTTAAATCAAACCTACCCTGGTAAATAATGCTGAATATATTTTCCACCCATTTTTGCTTACCTTGAAAGCTACAGCTTTTCCTAATGTGGTACAAGCAAATCATATCCGACTCATCAATGCTATTTGTAGCTGATGCTACCTGACCACTGTTCTCTCTTCTTTCTGAGGAAGGAAATTAGAAAGCAACACTCATTCACTGGCGCAATGCAAGGAAGAAGAGACAGCATTTGGGTGCTCTTGCTTCCTCTGAGCCTGGTACTCTGTCCTTGCAATCCTTTCCTAGCAAAGGTGGCAACTCCTCAAGTCAGCCATTTTAGCCTAGCTTTTTCCTTGCCCTGCTACCTTTTTAGGTACAGGGATTTTAAGGAGGAGTACTAAGTCAAGAAAGTCCCCACTTGGGGTCTATGGCCAGTTTACACACTGGTTTGCCAAGAACAAGAAGTGGACAAAAGTTGCCTCAAATCCACCCAAGACACTCTGGGACACCTCTAGTCTTCTGTAGGTGTGAGTTGCCACAGAACTGTTCTTCCTCAACTACCCGGGGCTGTTTTAAGCCAGAAAGTTCCATTTTTTTGGGAAAAAAGAAGTGAACAGCCAATGACCACCTCCTACGAAAGTGCTTTTTAAGCCTTAAATGTGTATGTATGTGAGGAAAGGGAGGATAATATTTAAACAGCAAACTGCATCCACAGAAGCCATCTTGGTAGACCTCTACCATCTCTACAGACCATCCTGTAGAGGAGGTCTGGGGACACAAACAGCCCATTCATACTCTTACAAAACCTTTGGGGGAATGCAGGATACACACATAAGTCTGGTCCCTCCTAAGGCTCAGATTAACGTCCTCTTAGCCTTATCTATTCAGCTCTCATGTGGGCAACACACATCTTCATGCAGCACCCAGCACCCCATAAATTTAATTTTTTCAAAAATGGGTGCAAAATTGCCAATGTTAGCATGTCCCAAGAGCTTCCCAGCATCCTCAGGACCCTGACACCCCATTAAAAATAATAATAAGATACAGTATTAGCCACTAGTAAACACGAGATTTTTTCAGTTTAAAAAGACCTGCCCTATATGTTCATATTAAAAATTGAGATATTAGGGATGCAGACCTTTAATGTCAAGGAATTACGCACGTGCAGACCCTAGACTCCAGAAGACTGATGTGGGGTGTGAGCCAGGGATCAGACAGTGTTTCCAAAATATGTGACAGCAGCAGAGTAAGGAGCAGCACCCCTTGCCTAATATCAGTTTTCTCTTTGAAGCACCCGAAACAAAATAAAATCCAGGTTTTCAAGAAGATGGCACAGCATGTGAGAATAGAGATATACCTGAAGGGACTGTTGCTTTATTTTTGATGTCATATACATTCCTGTACACTGAGGGAATCTTACTAATCAGAGCCCGACTCATTCCCCACTTCTCCAGCTTCTCGTAACAATCTGGATTAAAAACGTCATGTGAACGCCTGCAGTCGCTTCCAAATCTGCATTGTCCCTGAAGGTAGTACTGGCATATATGAAGTTTGACACAGACCTTCTTGAAGCTACAAGACCCATAGGGTCCATCCCCTTTATTATAGTACGGACATATCTGGAAACAGAAAGAAAGAAAAAGTGAGCTACATGAACACCTTTGAAGTAGATGGTTATTATGACTATTGTTTGTATCCGTCCAAGAAGTGATATAAACAGATGTCTAGTGACTTCTGAAAATCTTACCAGGCATAGTTTAACAGCAGCATCAATGATTGGCATTTTGGCACAAAAAAAACCTGGAGGGCTGATAACTAGTAAGAAATTTCACTTTCTAAAATACCATATAGTTGTTCTTAGTGCTTTGAATCCGATAAAATTCCTTGTTCACGGACAAGGCCACGCACATCATTACTATCAAGATTCAATTGTCTAATCTTTTAATTGTATTTTAAATCATATATTCTTTAATTTATCTTTTAATATTTAACTTATTTTGTTTTAAAATTGTGTGAATTTTAATGTTGTGAGCCGCTCTGGGTCCCCTGTTGAGAGAAATACCATATATAAATAAAACTAATAAATAATAATAGGTCAAGGTGGGACATTTTGGCTGTCAAGATGTCTCCAGACTGCAACACCCATAACCCCACAGGAGCTGCTATGCTGGTAAGGATGGAGGGGGTTTTCAGCCAAGAAACATGTAAGTAGCCACAGTTACTATCCCGAGGTATGCTAATGACTGCCTGTGTGTTAGAAATCAGAGGTACAGTTTTGCATTTTTGGACCAAAACTTCCAGAATTCTCCAGGCAGTAGAAATTTAGGAGTGGTGTTCAGTGGTAGAAGGACTATTTAGTCATGCATAATAACTATAAGAAGGAAGAAGCTTCACAGTTTCATTTCCTTGTTGCAATGCTCGTTTTAAAATAATTTCCCCTTCTAGTCAAGCTGACTGATCAGGCGCCATCTGAACACAGATGTTTATTTCCAGATTAGTTACTTAAAAACGGAGGTGGTGGAAATTAATCTATGCACAGTGACTGGACTAGAAAAGTAAGAACACTGCCAAACCAATCTGTCAAAAGCTGTATAGGTAAATGTTCCCCTTGACATTTAGTCCAGTCGTGTCCGACTCTACAGTCTGGTGCTCATCCCTGTCTCCAAGCCATAGAGCCAGCGTTTGTCTGTAGACAGTTACTGTGGTCACGTGGCCAGCGCGACTAGACATGGAACCAAAAGCTGTATACCACCCCCAAAAAAGTTCTCCCTTCTACTTTTTAGCAAATGTTATGCAGTGATACTTATCCCATAGCTCTGTTTATCTTTTGCCTTCAAACCCACTATCCTTATTCACTACTGGAAGACGGAGCACACATTGAATGCACACTTCAACTGGTTTTAGACATTCTAGAGCAGAGGTAGCCAACGATAACTTTCCTAATGTTTATAAACTGCAATTTAACACAATCCTAGTCTGCACTGGTAGATAATGGAAGCTGAAGGCCAAACATATCTGGAGTGCCACAGCCTTTGCTCGTACTAGTCTCCCCCAAGTTGACACTCTCCAAATTGGTTGGACTTACAACATTCAGGATTCCTAGCAAGCTCTCCTAAAGCATGAAAAGTGATGCTGGCTGAAGATGTTGGAAGGTGCAATAAAATACATAAGGAGGGCACCAATTTAGGGAAACCAGATCCTCATAAAGAGCAAAGTAGGTAAATCAAAAAAGCAGCTCCAAAAGCTACCATGCCGATTTATAATTGATGGCCAAAATCCTGCTAGAAGCCCATGGAAGAATGATGTCACCACCAGCAAGGAGAGATTAAAGATTTAATCCTACAGATCCCATGCAATGAAACCAATCACTCACAAGTCAGAAAAATGATGGGACAAAAAGTGGAAGTCTTTTATTACCAAATATCTCCTCCTGCTATTGACATCCTCACTCTTCTGCAAGTTTATCTGGCCACTATTAAATCTCATTGGGTGCTCTGTCTCAGCCAACAGGCACAAGGTCTCCAGAACAGTCCAGAAGCAAGACAAGATTAGAACTACATCCATCAATGGCATTTGACCTTGGCACTCAACAATCACTATCTATACACAATGGTAGGTCCCTTCCCTCTAAATGCGTATGCTGGGACTTGTAATTCATCCCTACATCCTGTAGCAATTAATTCAGCTGCTTCATTATTATAAGTCTGCAACATGTGATGACTCTTAGGCTAGCTCCCTCACTGAGGATGGAATACTTTGGGGACTATCAGAATAACCACTGAAAGGTTCTGTGAGTTGTAGTTCTAGAAGGTTAAGGAAGCCGCTCAGAGTGGTATTGACCTACCAGATGGGCGGGATACAAATCAAATAAATAAATAAATAAATAAATAAATTAACTTTTCCATGCTCTTCCTTCTCATGATGATAAAACGAGCAATAGGTCATTATTTCTACCATACAATTGCACTCATTTCACACGCTTTTGAGCATAACCTATTTTGAGCATGACCTATCAAGGTTATGCTCAAAATCCTCCAAGGCAGGCTTCAGTAGTATGTGGACTGAGAACTCCCAGAAGTACAAGCTAGATTTCGAAGGGACAGAGGAACTAGAGACCAAATTGCTAACATGCACTGGATTATGGAGAAAGCCAGAGAGTTCCAGAAACACATTTACTTCTGCTTCATTGACTATACAAAAGCCTTTGACGGTGTGGACCGCAACAAACTATGGCAAGTTCTTAAAGAAATGGGAGTGCCTCACCACATTATCTATCTCCTGAGTAATCTATATGTGGGATAGGAAGCAACAGTTGGAACTGGACGTGGAACAACTGATTGGTTCAAAAATGGGAAAGGAGTACGACAAGGCTTTATATTGTCATCCTGCTTATTTAACCTATATCCAAAATACATCATGCAATAGGCAGGACTGGATGAATCCCAAACTGGAATTAAGACTGACGGAAGAAATATCAACAACCTCAGATATGCAGATGATACCACTCTGATGGCAGAAAGTGAGGAGGAATTAAAGAACCTCTTGATGAGGGTGAAAGAGGAGAGAGCAGAAAAATGGTCTGAAGCTCAACATACAAAAAACAAAACTAAGATCATGGTCACTGTCCCATCACCTCCTGGCAAATAGAAGGGGAAGATATGGAGGCAGTGACAGATGTTTCTTGGGCTCCATGATCACTACAGATGGTGACAGCAGCCACGAAATTAAAAGATGCATGCTTCTTGGGAGGAAAGCAATAACAAACCTAGACAGCATCTTAAAAAGCTAAGCAAGGGTATTAGTGGCTAGTTCTTAACCAGAAGGCCATCCAGGATCCTAGGATAGGCTAAGAAAGGACTCTGCCAGAAACCCTGATGTGCAAAAGTCTAAATTGGCCAAAGTTGACAACACTGGCAGATGGATCAGTATAACCCAGTTTCATATGGTAACATTTTAGCTTAATACGTATGTAAAGAAACCAAAGCATGCATGGATTCTCACAACTCTAGCCAATTTATTTAGCTGTACTAAACTATGGCCTGAGGAGTCGCACACTCTCCAAATGAAGGTTCTTACATCTAAAGCCCTAAAACTTCTTGGGTCCAGGCTATCTGATGGATTCAATATTTTTGGAGGAGGCTTTTCTTCTGATCCCATGAACCCTACAAGCATGTCTGGGGAGGATTTGAGAGAGGGTCTTCTTGGTTGCTGCTCCCAGGCTATGGAACTCCCTTCCACAAGAAGCCTGCCTGGATCCCTCCCTACTATCCTTCCACCGCCAAAAATGTTCTCCTCGGTCAATTGTTATTTAGTAAGTAACAAAAGGGAAAGGGATATTATGGATTTCTTTTTATATGCTTTTAATTGTTTTTATTGAACAGTTTCAAGACATTTAATGGTTTTTTTATGTTGTAACCAAACATATTTTAACTGTCCTAAGATCTGTCTCTTTTTTGGTTTTTTTATTGAGAGAAAGGCAAGATATCAACTGAATGAATGAATGAAGATGCATAACTTGAACAAAGAAATTTACTACAGTTATAGTCATCATTTACAACAGATCCATTTATACAGAAACACCAGTCAAGTGCAACAGTGCTCACCTCAGGCAAGAGTGAAGGATCATTCTGAAGCAGGAGCTGACATAAGTGATCACAGCTTAAACTTTCCAGCTCATATTCTTTAAGGACTGAGAGGTTATGGGGTGAATGAATTTCATGGATGAACTTGCATTCTTTCCTGAAAGTTTTGAAAACATTAAAATGGGCTTTCAACTGTACCTTGGTTTTACTATCAAATGTAAAATAACTTGAAACACACATATCCTTCACAGCTGAAGACATCTGTGCAGTCCAGTTCTAGGCTGATTTTCTCTGAAATAAATCCGTGTTTAATAGGGCTCAGGTTCAAATAAGCTTAGATAGAATTCCAAACCAATTAATCCTCGTAATATAATTCTAAACAATATTGGTTAAATGTAGTTTTGGAAGCCATTTCTCTCTTATGAATGATTGAAAAGATACAGAATTAGGATAAGAAATGTGACTACACAGGGGAATTTGGAGTGATCTGGATTACATTTTTTTTTTAAAAAAATCTTATCTTAGGTGTGATGTATTTTATCTTGCACTTGAGCAATCCATACATTCACACAGATGTTTCTTCTCCCATGAGAAAGATCCAGACAGCACTTCAGATCACTGCAATTTCTCCTGCTTTTGATTACTGACACCACCTTCTCTGCCTCTTTCCACACCTTTTGTCATGGATGTCAACTCCCCTCCCCCTATTTTTTTTTAATTTAGAAAGTGGCACAAGGCTACAGCAGTACAACAGCCTAGCATGGATACACCCTTATATCTGAAATAGCATTAGGGTTGCCACTGCAGCCCTAGTGCTGTGCCAGAAAGAACCAAAATAGGCAAACAAAACCACACCAAAAGTGAACTAAATTGCAAACTATATCATCGTCTGATTGGCCTCAAAGATGGACAGTGAAAGGAAGTTCCATGATGTAGTTGCAAGATCTGTGAAGCTGAAACATAGGGAAGCAAAAACACAACCAGGAAGAAAGAAAGTAGCACCCTCCAGAGTAAATAAACACAACAAAGAAGGAAAAATACAGCTGCACAAGCAAAAGGTTTCCTTTCTTTGTATTGGTAGCCGTGTGCAAACACAATGTACTGTAAAACAATTATAACAGCTTTGCTTGTATTCCAGTGAGCTAAATTCTTAATGCAGAACGGAGTAGAATATTTAAGACAGAAAGCACAACAAAATTGTGCTGTAGCTTCCTTGATTTCGTCAAATCCATCGAAAGTGAAGTCTCCCTATTTTCCTGCTGCCTTCAACTTTGCCTAACCTTCGTGCCTTGTCTATTCATGCACACGAGGCAGGAGAGACTTCACTTAGCCACTTCAGCTGCCAGATTTCATCGCACTTCAGACGCTAACAAAAGAGAATGAAAGCGACTTCTCTAGAAAACCACTTCATTATGAGCAGCCACTTCCTCCATTACACCTACCTCTACTTTAAAGGCGAATTGCCTTCCGGCCTCGCCCTCTACCGAAAGGGGAAAAGCAAGGGAACGGAGGATCGATTCCCACCACCACCCCAAGCGCAAAGTTTCCTTTGAATCCCGAATTAGGCGACCACCTGGAAAGCAGCCGATCTGCGTCTGGTTCTTGAGCCGGATCCTCGTCTCGTTTACTAGGAAGTCCCCTCCGATCCCCTGCCAGGAGGTGGGCGCGCAATCCCGAGCAAACTTCCCCGTGAATAACCCTTCCCAGGAGCTGAACTTGATTTACCCCATCCAATCGAAACCCACTTGCTCAAGAGTACATCCCAGGTAACTCTGAGCAGGCTTACTCCCGAGGAAGTGCCGCGCACACAGGGCTGGGAGTCCCATTCGGTGGAAGGGGGGGGGGCGCTGCCTCTTTCCCCAAGCCAAGGTCTCGGACTGACCTCGTTCCCTGAAGGCGGCATCCGCCGTACACGAAGTACCGGCAAAGGTGGAGCTGCCGGCAGGACCCCGCGCACTGCCTCCTGCCGTGGTCGGGGCACAGGCGCAGGGCGGTGGTGGCCACCACGACCCGATGGTCTCGGCTCCGGGCGGTGTCCTCGGAAGGGGCCTCCTCTCGGGTCACCACCGTGAATTTCCTCGTGTCCTTTAGCAGCTGGGCCAAGCGCTCCGGTCTGCCCTGAAGGTTCAGGCGCCCGGCGAGCTCGCTCTCCTCCAGGCAGCCGCCCGAGGCGCACAGGACTTGCAAGATGCCTTCGACCTGGCACCGATGGATCGAATCCGCCATCGCCGTCCTAGCTTTCGTCTCCGGAGCCCTGCGATCCGGCTCTCGCGGGGAGGGGGGATTCGAACCACCGGACAGCGCGCTCACATTCCCTCCCCTCCCGCGGGCGCGCAGCCCTCCGCACGCCCCCCCTCTGGTCCCGGGCTTCGCGTGACCCCCGGCGCCGCTTCTTCCTCGCCTCCCGCCGGCCTTATTCTCTCGGAGCAGCCCCAGGTTCTTCCTTTCCTGGTTTGGTCTCTCGTCTCTTGAGGGAGAAACGAAAGCGAAAACGAGAACGGCAGTGCCAGCTGAGTCAGGAACCGACATCTACGTGTCCGTGGGTGTCATTAAAACATATACAGTACATAGATTTACCTGGGAGTGACTAGCCTGCTTATCTCAGTCCAAAGAGAAGAGTGGGAGAGACCTTTATTGTTGTTATGTAGGGTCACTTATGGCAACCCTATGAATGAATGAGAGATCTCCAAAATGTCTTCAACAGTCCAGCCTCAGGTCTTGTAGACGCAAGCCTGTGGTTCCTTTAGGAAGCCAGTCTATCTCCTGTTTGGTCTTCCTCGTTTCCTGCTGCCTTCAACTTTTGCCAGCATTACTGTTCCATGCTGTGTCCAAAGGAGGGGAGCCTCAGCTTCAACAGTTTTGCCTCCAGAGATCAGTCAGGCTTGATTCAATCTAAGACCCATTTGTTTGTTTTTCTGGCAGTCCAAGGTATCAGCAAAGCTCTCCTTCAGCACATTTCAAACAAATCTTTTTTTCTACCCATTTTCTTTACTGTCCAGCTTTCACTTCTATACATGGTGACTGGAAATATGATAGCATGATTTTGGTCTTGGTCTCTAGGAACACATCCTTACACTTGATTATCTTTTCTAATTCCTTCATCCCTGCCCTTCTGAATCTCAGTCTTCTGTTTTCTTGGCTGCAGTCTCCATTTAGATTGATGACTGAACCAAGGCATACAAAATTTGTCAATATTTCAATTCCTTCATTGCCAACATTAAAATTATGTAGTTCTTCATTAGTCATAATATTGGTCTTAATATTCAACTGTAGTCCTGCTTTGGCACTTTCTTTTGTTGCTTTCCTTAAATGTCATCTCCAAGTCATTGCTGCTTTCTGTCAGTAAAATAGTGCCATCTGCCTATTTTAAATTATTGTGTTTCTTCCATCAGTTTTGACTTCATCTGCATCTAGTCTTTCGTTGTGTATGATATGTTTTTCATTAGACCACTGAAATTTTTCAAACAGAGGCTAGCCTTTGACTCTACACTGGTTTTCACTAAGTATCACTCACACTTCCCTTCACATTATTAAATATGCCACTTTGCTGCTTCTCTCTTTTCTTTGTTTTATTTTACTTGCCTCAGTGGGACTTACTTGTAAATCAGATTGTGGCTATACAGATGTGATGGGGTTCAGGGTAAGGCAGAGGCAGCTCTTTCTTTTGGGCAGGAAATAACCAGGAGGCTTCATTTTGAACTTCAACAGATTTATTAAGGTTAACGTTTGGATAGTCAACCGCAACTTCTATAGGTTCAAAACAGCTTAACGCAGGTAGTTGCCCATAAGAGCTAGGTAACATATTTATGAATGAAACTGTCTTGTTTCATTGCGGAGCCGGGCCAAAACGCTACTTGTCCGTTGATTTCTGTAACAGCATGCTCCTCACCGCACAGATTGTGCCACAACACGGGTGGCGGGCCCAATCCCCCTTGAGGATTGAAAGTGGCGTCGGGACGGATCCTCCTCCTCCAGTGACCCTGTCCGCTTGGGAATACTACTACCGTTTATTCCGACGTCTCGGTCACTGCCACACCTCCTTTCTCCGGTGCCGGATGTGGCAATAGTCCCCCAACTTTCAAGTTGGGAAAATCTTGTAATAAATTGCGTGCTTTCTGGTAATCAATTTCTCCACCTTCTTTCATCATTCTCTGGGGTATACTAAAGGATCTCTCCCCTTCTCTTTTTTTATCCTCCTCCCATACCAGCAATGTTAGGTGTCCCCCCCCTTCCTTTCCCTTTCCTTCTTCTACTAAGCACGCTTCTGTCTTTATTCTTTCTTTCTCATTCACTTTGACAATTACCCCATCCCTATCTGTTCCCTCTCTCAGTTCTTCTATCCCTGATTCCTTTACTGGAGGAGACGGCACACTCTTGTCACCTTCCACAGTATCAAGTGCTTTGATCCCTGCCTTCCCACTCCACTTTCTTGCGAAGAAAGAAATTCTGGGTTAGAAAAGTGGGGGGGGGGATCCTTGTACATAGAAAAATATGGTATTTCAAGATACTCTACTACGAGTTAGAAGACACGCCAACTGATTTTTTGAAATAGTTCAGTAATCTGGAAAAGTTCAGTTAAACTTGAGAATGGGCCAAGAATGTAAAGGAATTAACAGCCCTCTGTACTTCTGAGAATAAGAAATGGGGGAAAAACACAGCTTCTGGAGTGAATGAATAGGACGAGGGTGAAGTAGTGTTTGATTTAAAGCCTGCTTGCCTGCCTCTGGGTGGTGTGAATGCTTGCTTGCCTGCCAGTGTGTGCGTGTATGAACACCCACTTTTCCCCCAGGTCCACTTATTATCCTTGGCTCTGTGCACTCTTTGCTGCTGTGCCTTCTGCCCCACTGAGCACAATGGTCCTCAGTAGGATCCCTGTATCTGTGAGATCAGTATCTATTGATTCACTTATCCACAGTCTGAAAATATTAAAAATATTAAAAGAAGAATCCCCAAAATATATATTTCTAATGGTGAAGTTACCAGAACAGGCCATTAGAGGGAGTCAGAGATCATGCTATGTATGTTTGCTGGAGAAATATATTTCCACAATGTTATTACCAGAACCTGTGACGAGAGGGAGACAGTGACCATACTATGTATACCATTCTCTATTATAACCGTGTTCATTGTAATCTACATTTTTCAGCGTCCACAGGGTGCTTGGAATCAATCCCCCATGGATATGGGGGTTCTATTGCACTATCTACTATAACTACTTTTCACACCCTGATCTGCTTGTGTTGTTTCCTGCCCACAGCTTGCTTGCTTGCTTGCTTGCTTGCTTGCTTGCTTGCTTGCTTGCTTGCTTGCTTGCTTGCTTTATTTATTTATTTATTTATT